CTACTCTTAAAATATATATTGTCCTTAATCTTTTTAAGATCCAATAAAAAGTACTAGAGCTCAAAAGACATGTTTCCCTCTCGCTAAGCTTTGCCTACTTTTACATTGAAAAGAAAGAAAAAGAAAAATGCCCTTCATGCCATAGTAGACTATTGATGATTTTTGTGTCCATGGTTTCCTTTTTTGTTGTTGTTTGCTTTTCTATATTTTAAAAGAATGTTGGTTTTTATCCCCAAGGTTGAAGTGGTTTTGTCTTTGTGTCTTGATACTGCATTTGCATGTAGGCAATGTTCCTGGTCACGCTGGGACATGGTCACAGTGAAAAAGAAGCTGAGCCTGTATGTACAAAGCTGACCCTAGTGATTCACCACCGATAGGCCACAGGCTCAGAGCTGTTTTCTAAAGCACAGAGAAATAACTAAAATAGCCTTCCCGGGCCTGAAGGGACCCATGACTAGGTTATCTAAAGGAGGATGTTTTCATCAAAGACAGAATTGCTTGCTATGAGAATCACACATACAGTTGGACCCTTTTCACCTGCATTGTACAAATACATAAATGTTAGTGCTGCATGAATTAATTCACCTTCCTGTTCCATCTTATGATGCTGGTGAGTCACTGTGTGATTATGAGCTATATCAGTCATGGTATAAGGAGTGTCTTTTAATCTTAATCAATATCCCCCAAACCAACCCAAATAATCAAGACCCCCTTCCAGCCACATTGCTTCCTTTAAGCTCTCTTATTTGGATATCCTAGAATTGGAAGCATACTTTACTTTTTTTCAAATTCTACAAAGTGATCGCATACTAACCTATTACTGTACTTTGAAGTCCTGTTTCTTGTGACAACAGCCTCATAAGAAAAGGGTTTAAAGTTTAGTCACATTTTACCTTCATACACTTTCCAGAGTCACTTGATTATCTCTTACACAAGACATTCTTAATAGAATGGTCCTTCCTCTAGAAAAAGATTTTTTTCTGGAAAGTTCATTGTCACTTTAAAGAATGTCTTGCACATTTTGGCCTCATTTTCTTAAATGCCACACACAACAACTCATCAGGGCCTCTGAAACTTTAGTGTGTACCCAAATTTCTAGAGACCTTGTTTAAAATGCAACTTTCACAGGTGTAAGGCAACTCCAATCTAATTTCAGGAATCTGGGTGAGTGACAGTAATGCAACTGGTCACAAAGTCACAGGGGAGTCCCCTTGGAGAAACACATGGTAAGGGCTCAGCCAGAGACAGGTCTGAATAACTTTACTTAGCCGCTAACTAGCTGAGTTCATTGAACTAAGCAGATAATCTTTGTGTGCCTCAGTTTTCTTTCTGTAAGAGGAAGTAATGAGATTATAAGCATAACTGCTTATTATAGTTTACTACTAGAACACAGATTGGTTAGTAGTAGACACTAACAAATGTTGCATTACTAGAAATAGCTTTCCAGGTAGACAAAACGTTCTCCTAAGCTTCCAGTATGAAAACGGGTCAAAAGAGAAGAGACAGGGCTGAACAAGCTAACTGGCAGCTTGGAGGCCAAAACAAATGTGTCCCAAGTAACTTTAAAACACTTGTGAGTGGCAAAGAATTTTGAATATAAAGGGAAAATACAAGTACAATTTGTAATTTTTTGCTCTAATCAGCTAAGACTAGATAAAAATACTGATTGGTTATAATGATAGTTTTAATTAATTTGAAAAGCATATGACACTAATTTGGAGTTACATGTAGCACATTTTGCAGCAGTTCATGGCCTGTTTGCTTAAACTTTTAGACTGTTTTTCCAAAGATTTCCGCAGTGTCTAATCGACAGCCTATTTCAACTTACTCTAGTTATTATTGACAATTACCGTTTATTGAATACTTACTGTGCCCCAAGCATTTTCTGCTTATGATTTTAATTGCAATTCGAGGATCCTATGGTAAAATAGATTGTTTCCGTCTCTACTTTATGAATTATGAATGAAACTCAGAAGAGTCATACCAGTAGGACTTAGAGGTGATGGGATGCAATGGGGCTCCAGCTGTCTCCCACCAAAGATGTCCTTCTGTTGTACTCAGTGTCCCAGTGGTGATTAGTGGCTGTCGTTACCTAACTAGCTGACTGGGACCACAGACCTATGCACCATGATCAGCCTGCCCCATACTGTGGCATTTCTCCATGGACCCCTGGATTTCAATTATATTATTTTATGATTAAATATGCAGTGCCCCAGCTTTATATCTGACTTTGAGCAAATGTCTGAATTCCATCTAATGACCCAAAAGCTGTATCATGGTTCCTATGCCCAGTATTTCATATTTCCTCATTTATATTAAAAAGAAAAGTGAAAAAAAGATTTGGGCAGGATTGTTCAATGAGAAAAAGATTGAGATGGTAAAGTCCAAGACATATAAAACAGTTATGCGGAACTCAGATAAGCCCTTTATATGTAAGACGACATTGATCTCACCTTATCCTATGCTGAGGTATTGCCTCTGTCATAAAGATAAGTAGTTAAAGACTTTAAAACTTTAAGAGACATGACCAGTGATTAACAACCTGCAAATTGCCAAACCAGGATTACAACCTATGACAAAGAGATTTATTACTTCCTAGGAAAGGCAGGTAACATAAATAAGTAAAACAAACCACAGAGGCTCTCTATGCCAGAGCAGGTATATTTTTTTGAGAATGGCTACTTGGCTCCAGTACTTTGAGGATCAGAGTTGACTGTGCTCTGCATCTTCTGGTATGTTTCAAGTGAAGAATAAATATTTTAGGTGAAATCTTCTCATTTAAAAATGCTAGCATTTATTTGTTTCATCTGTGTTTCTTTAACTATTTGTGAGGTTCCGTTAAGCACATCTGTGGGTTATGTGGTCCCAGGCTTCCTAGACGCACCCTCTGATACAGGGCCCACGCCTAGAGCTCAGGCTTCTGAAACATCAGTGTCTCACTAGGCCACCACTGAGAATAGTTATTTCCAGGTCTGTCATCCTTAGATCCACATGTGCTTCCCCCTCTACAAAGAACTTCAAACCAAGGCAGACTGGCTGGCAAAGGCCGCGGTTCAGTACGTAACTTTGATAAATGGAGCACCATTCCCCAAACTGCCTTTCCCCAGGCAGATGTTACATCATATTAGGAGTTAATATGTAAGGAAATCAAACAACTAGATAATAAGTAGCTCATGGTTCTTTAAATAAGCAAAAGATCTGAATAGACATTTTTCAAAAGAGGACAAATGGCAAAGAACATATATAAATAAATGTTCATACCACTAAACATCAGGGAAAACGCAAATCAAAACGAGATATGATTTCACTCTATAACAATAGTTATTATCAAAAAGATAAACCATAAATGTTATCAAGGATGTGGAGAAAAGAGAACCTTTATACATTATTGTTGGGAATGTAAATTTGTACAGCTGTTATGTAACAGTATAGAGATTTTTCAAAAAAAAACTAAAAATGGAATTTTCATTTCACCCAGGAATCTTATTACTGAATAACTCCTAAAGGAAATCTAATCACCAGGCTGAAGAAACATCTAAATTCTCATGTTTTTATAGTACTATTCAACAACAGGCAAGGTCTGGAATCAATCTAAGTTTCCATCAAGAGATGAACAGAGTAAAGAATGTGGTACATACACACAATGGAATACTATTCAGCCATAAAAATAAAAACCCTTCATTTGTGTCAGTAGTGATGAACCATATGTTAAGTAAAAGAAGCACAGATGAACAAATGCTGCAAGATCTCAATCATATGTGGAATCTAGAAACACTAGTTTCGTAGAAATAGAGTATAGAATAGCAGTTACCAGAGGCTGAGCAAGATTGAGAACTGGTCATCAGGAACATAGTTACAGCTAGATGGAAGTTTAGAATAAGCCCCAGTGTTCTACAGCAAAGCAAGCTAATCACAGTTAACAGTAACGTATTATAAATTTCAAACACAGAAGAGAGGTTTTAATGTTACCATCACAAAGAACCCATAAGTGACTAAGTCAATTGATATGTTAATTTCCCTGACCTGATCATTATACAATGTATACATCTGTTGTGCATCACATGATGCCTCAATTATACATTAACTGTGTCAACCATAAACTTTTTTTAAAAAGAAAAATAAATACATGGTGCCCCTCAGAGATTATTTGTCTTTTTATGTTATTTATGAGAGAATACACAGATCCACTTTCAGGGACAGAATTCCTTCAGATCTGGAGAACTATGTGAGTGCCCTTTAATTTACCATTTTTTTCTGAAAATCATTTACAGTACCTCCTCTTATCCTTACATGCCCCGTCATAAGGGAAGTGTCATAGCATGGAAATTGGCTTCATCTAGATTTCATATTGTTATCCAAAAATGTTGTTTGTTTCAAATGGTAGAATCTCCCTTTGGAGATTTTCCCTGAGACAGCTGGGCCCAGGGCATGGCTCATTTTCACCCTGTGTTCCAAGCAGATGACGGAGGATTCACAGGCAGAGAAAGGCTGAGAAGTGGCACTTCCTGCATTCATCCCTCTTCCCACTCGTGTTTATTAATATCTGGGCAGAAATGTGACAGTGAGAAGTTTTGATGTGCAGAAAGAGGAAGGCTACAGTAAGTGAGCATTCTCAGTTTAATATAGCGCCATCCAAGTGGGCTGTGCCGAGGAGAGGAGAAAAATGGAACTAAAGCTGTTTTGCACAAAATAGCTAAGTACTGGTTTGAATCAGCAAATGACAGAGAAACTACAATAAAAGCTAAGAGCTTTTATGACAAACTTCGCTATAAGCCTGCCCTATGGATCTGTTGTCGTTTCTCTGGAAAGGAAGAAGATTTCTTTGGTGACTGACAAATGCCATTTAAGAAATATGATTCTAGTGGATCCTTATATCTTTAGAATTGGGAGTCATAGCCTAGTTATTCCCAATTTTATGACTAAAAAGGACAAAAATATCTGCCCGAGTAGCAAAACCTTTCGCCTCCCCTCTCTTCAAAAGAGGACTGGATTTAACTCACCCTTTCCCTTCCTCTTGGGTGATGCTGAGTCAAGACGTTAAGAAAATGCACACAGCACAGAAACAGTGTCTTTTTCTAGAAAACTCCAAGGAGGAGCCTGGAGGGAAATTACCTGCTGAGAGTCTTCTGGGTGGGGAGGCGGAGCTGAGGGGAGGAGGAGGTGTCTGTCAAGAGGGATGAGGGAGGCCTGATGAAATACAGGAGAGAGATGGCTCCTCGAGAGGTCCTGAGCCCACAGCAGAAAACAAAGGATTTTAATAAGATTTTCATTTGTGGCTTGAAAGATGCCATGACTCATTAGAATTCCTTTTGGGTGATGTTTAAATGTCAGATTTCTCGTGGATGAAAGCCCAGGGGTCAGAGCTTTAATAGGGTTACAGTTGTCCATGGCTGCTCCGGCTCATGCATCCTCTTTATCAAGCACTCTGTCTCCAAAGACATTTGACAGAGAGCGCAAGGACATGTTTCCTCCGCCACAGGATAAGGGCCTTTTTAATCCATGTGACGCTGTTCCTACTAGGTTTCAGAATGCCCTGCTTCTGGGTTTGGGAATCAGGCTTCAGATGAACCAAGGAGTTCACTATGATCTTCTCATGGAGACAGATACCTATGTAAGCAAGTATGACATAGAGATTTAGATTCTCTTCAAGCCTTTTACTCATTCATTAAATAATAAATATTCACTAATCACATGCCACGTGTCAAGTACATACCTGTGTCAGGTATGAGGACACAGCCATTAATAAAACCAACATTCTTTTCTCAGAGTCCACGTATCTTTTTATTAATGTCTTTTTTAAAGAAAATTTTTCAATTAAGTAGACAAAAAAATCAAGTTATGGAACTGATATTTAAGTTAGTGGGAATATTAAAATCATATTTCAGAGTTTTCCCACAATTATAGGGAATAAGCAATACCAAATGCTTTCTTCTTTGTCAATTCAAAAATTACTAAATGTAAAGGGAATTGAAAGCATTTTGTCTCATCTTAACAAAGCCTTGTACATATTCCAGAGTCGCAGGGAGCAGGAAATCGCAGGTCAGTGATACAGGCTGAGGGGACTATGAAGCCAGAATTGTGTTCCCACTGGGTCACCGTATACTGCACACGAGTAGCGTAAATTAACTCAGTTTAATCACTCATAACATGGGGTTTCCCCAATAGACTTTTGTGTGGACTAAATGAGATGATCCATGTAAAATGTTTAGCTTAGTTCACCCACAGAAGGCACACAAGCATTCTTATTACACATTTCCTTGTCTTTAAAGAGGGGGCTGGAGGAATTCAGCTCCTACAAAGGCTCAGCTCTCTTTGCAAAAGAAATAGAAGAGATATGGATGAGACAGACTCACTGCTAAGTGAAAAGACGTGCCAAACAATCCAACAGTGGTATGTAGGGTAGTAGCATGTGTGTGCAGGATTTAGGGTAAGAGCAGAGATGGGGTTTCTCCATTGTGTATCTCTGTGTATGTGTCTGTGAGTGTCTGACTCTGTCCTTCTGTCTTGGCATGTGTGTCTGTATAAACAGCTATTTTTAAAAATTTCTTTTAACAACTAGCTGTTGACTACAAATGACATCTTTAACAAGCTCATGTTACCAACGAGGCAAGAAGACTCCATCAATACTTATGAGTTCTGTGTTCCAAGAGATGTTTACGATTCTGAGAAATCCCTTGATGAAGCAAATTATGATCCAAGTGGCAGGACAAACAATGCAGAATGTCAGTGACCATCCAAAGAGGTTATTTCCCAGCCAGTGGCCTCAGCTGGTGAGGAAGGGCATGACACCTTCAGAGTATGTCAGCGCTTGAATCAGCACCTAGACCAGTGATGGCAAATGCTTTAGAGCCTTCAGTGATACAAACAGCCCACTGCAGGGCACACGCCACCAATAGCTTGTGGCATCACTGCAGTCGTTTGCCCCAACAGACCTAGGTGTTCAAGAAAAATTGACTCTAGTTGTTCTTTTGGGACTGGAGAAGTATCATCAGTCATTCTGATTCCAAACTCTGTCTCCCAACTGCTCAATGGGAATGTTGACAACAGTCTAATCAACCCATCAGTGGAAGGCTGTTTTGAGTAATCTCTAAGACAGTCTAATGCTGACATTCTCTACTTGATGGTAGCCTTACCTCATCCATTTTAGTGATGGCTTTTTGCATTCTGAAGCAAAATTTGTGTTCCACACTCTGTGCTATCTGCTTAATATCAGGAAGACAGTACAGTACAAAGAACACAGGAGCAAGGTAGACCAGGGTTTGAATCCTGGTTCTGCCACTTCCTAGTTATCTGAAAATTAGCTGGTCCTAGACCCCCAGTTTCCTCATTAACACAACAATATTCCACCCACAGAGAGGCTCTAAGGACTTGAGAGGGTCTCTCTCTATTAAAGTTACCTGATTTACCTAGCTAGTTTCATGTACTCTGACTCTTTTCATGGTAGCATTATTACAAACACAGTAGACACCAACAATATAATGTGCTATGAAGCCCAGTAGCCTGGGTCCAAATCCTGTTTCTATACTGCAGGCACATGTTTTAACTTCTTGTGCTTCAAGCTCCTTGCTTTGAAACTCAAGATGGTGCTTTGAACTGGCTCAAAAGGTTGTCAGAAAAATGAAAAGACTTTTGCATGAAGAACTTTTACAAGGTTGGGCTATTATTTTCAAATCAATACCTGAAAATTAGTTAATACTAGACTAGCATACAGTCATCAACCAGTCAAGTAGGAAGAAAAGATGGAGTAGGGGGACAAACCATCAGTGAAAGGAGAAAAAAATGAAAAACTATTTCCTCCCTGTCTCTACAACCTCCATGGTGAGTCCAGGAGGAAGCCTGTTTCCCAGGGCTGTGACCAATTCCGCAGGAGCTGCTCAAAGCAAAGAACCAACCATAGAGTCTCAAGGTTGACCCACAGAAACACGAGGAAAGTTTCTGGAATAAATAAATCTAAAGTAAGAAAAGGAGCACATAACTTTGAACTACTGCCAGGGAAACTAAACCCCGAATTTATTTGGTGACTGAACAACCACAAACTGATAACACACAGAGTTATTTAAAGCCCTTTACAGCTTGTCAATGGGAAACATAAAACCAAGCCTTAGATGATTCCAGGCCATCCCTCAAGGCCATTAAAAATCAAACAAACAAAAAAACACCTTCCAAACAGGATATCTGGTCAACTGAGTGAACCATGCTCTCTTGGATATGTTTCAACACAAGTAACCCAATCCCCTCGCTGCAGCAAGAATTCTCTGAATCAGTTTTCAAAGGCAGGACTGTGTATCCTTGTGACCTCTCTAGATGCACTTCCCTCAAGTGATGCTTTCGGTGACCTCCACTTGTGCACAGAGTGGTATCCTTGGGGTGAAGTGCTTCTCCCCTTCCTCTTCAACCTGATTCATTTATTTCGTTTTACTGTAGGATATTTTCCTTTTCTTACCAAAAGCATCCCAGTAAAGGAGGCAGTAAAGCTATAAAAATAAACCTTTTAGATGCAGAAATAATGGCAAGTCCTTCTCTGGTGTTGCCCTTCCTGGGTGGCCATGGAGCAGACAATTGTTTAGAATGTTGTCTCTGATAACAGACCAGCTCAAGTCACACCCTGTCCTAGTGCAACAGATACAACAGATACGTTATCCTGGGGAAACAACTTCATCTCCACGTACTGCATTTCTGCTTTTTAAAATTTGATCCTTATTTTTTATTATTGTGATAGCTCGGACCCCAGAATAAAAATCCCAGGAGGCAAGATATTGCAATTTGGGGAGCAAAGGCTTTATTTTAGACCAGGCCTGGCGACACAATCCCCGGGAGCCAATTTGGAGACTACGCGCCCCAGGCACCCCAGAGACTGAAGAAAGGGATTTTAAAAGCAGGAGAGGTCAAAAAAACAAAACAAAAAAGAAATCCACAGAGCTGTTAAGCTGTTGACTCAAGTCTGGAAACTGTAAAGCTGTCCACTTAGTTCTGATAACATCGGGAGCCTTTTGTGCCTTTCAAGTTACTCCCATTCTGCAGATAAGCATTATCTCGGAATAGCACATCTGCAGTAACATTCGGAGAAGAAAGTAGAAAGTTAATTATTTGGGGACAGCTTGTTAGCACTAACATGTGAGAAGGGGTCGAAAGTTACAAGAAGCTGAAACTTAACTTTTTACAAGGATTTGGAACTTAACCCTTTCGGTGCATACAGAACAAGAGGAGGCACAATGCAGAACAGAAATACGGCGAGATTACTTTTTTGGGGGGGTAGAGAACAAGATCAGGTAAGGGCTATGCTAACAAGCAAGTCTTCCTGCATACAAGCAAGTTACCCTTTAAACAAGTTTAAATTAGGAAAACATCCTGGTTTCCTCAGCAGAGAAGAGAAGTCTAACAGTAATTAACAACCCCTGTTAGCTTATTTTAGCACTACATCTGTTATTTGTAGAGGGCAACAATGGTTAACATATCAACTAGGTAAGATTTTGCAATTCTTTTTTTTTTTTTTTTTTGTCTTTTTCCTTTTTATCAGTACCAGGGATAGAACTCATGACTGCTCAACTGCCTGCTTACAAGGCAGGCGCTTATGCTGCTGAGCTAAATCCCCAGCCCCAGATTTTGCAATTCTTTACAGAGGAGAGCATTGATTAACATATCAATTAGGTCACCCAGAGGGAGAAGGAAAACATATATACGGTATGGCCATGTTACAGGTAATTTGCTATAATACAAATATAATGAAGCTATTTTTCTTCGAGTACAACAATTAGTAAATATGCCATATATAATGGCCACAGTCATCATGGGGAATTTGTACCAGTACATAATATATCTCCATTCTTTTCTTTTTCCATTCCTCTCCCTTCCTTTAACCCTTCTTTCTCTCTCCATTTACAAAATCTCTGCTTCCATTTTTTCCTTTCTATCCTGTTTTCTTTGTCATTTAAGAACAGTAACTGTATGTTTAAAATTACAGTTCATTTATAAAATTATTCTTTAAAATTGAGTTCAAACTATCATACATCAGTTATATACTGCTTTCACTTTTTAAGAAATTATGCTATTCACAAGACTTTGGGTTAATATTTCTATTGAATAACTTGTTTTCTTTTAGCAACAGAATTTCCTGGGAGCCAAATTC